GGTTAGGTACATGGATATAATTTCATTTTTAATTATCAATTTACGCTAAAGGGGTTCATACTATGTTAATACTCCTAGTATAGCTTGTAACTTACCTATTGAAGTCATAGAGCTCCTTGCAGGACGTAATAGCTAGGAGATAAAAAAGAAGTGTTTCTCTCACCTATTGTCCATTATAAAGCCCAGTGTCCTTGCAGTTCGACGCGTGTTGTGTATCATTGGTGCCCACATTTACGGGCGGGAAATTTACCAGCTTTTTAATTCTTAAAATGAAATAGCGGAAAAGTAATGAGAGCTCGTCTAAGAAAATAAAAATAAAACAGAATTATACTTCTTCAGGCGAATATTTTTACTTTAATCACTACCGTTTCGGAGGGATTATTCATCACTTGGTTGACTCAAAATAAATACTGTAAGTTTAATTTAAGGAATAGCTACACATATGGAGCGGGTTATCATCTATAAAGTTGGGACTTGGGACAAACCAGAGACATCTAAACTAAAGAGCGGACAGGGCACAGGAAAATAGGAGGATCACGTGATTATGGAAGAAACATTTTCTCTAGAACAAGTTTTTGAAGAACGGTGTGACTGATTAGCTCGTGGAATAATCCCATATACCTTTCTCGCAAAACTCTCCCATGAAACCTGCTTCACAGACACATTTGTAAGAAGTGTATTTGTAATTTGGGACGCATGTTCCTCCGTTTTGACATAGCGAAGAAGAGCAAGGAGACTAAGATAAAGAAAGAACATATTTGTTATCAATACCGGTAAATGTTTGAACAGTAGTTTGATAAATGAAGCCGATGTCTCTTTTTTTAGATGGTTAAGCTGGGGAGCAGTACTGCAAAAACTTAGAGTAAAATAACTTGTTCAATCGCTCCCTAGAGTTTTCAAGTGCGTTTCTCTTTAGGTACACTCTAGAATTCTAGAAGAGTGCTGAGGGTAATCCCAGATCGCAACAGTTTTGCTTTCCCAGTGATTGGTCAAAAAGATCCCAACTACCCTCCCATGATTGGAAGAAAACTAAAGCCAATTTGGACTCTTTAATCCGCGTTTCCCGCTCTTAAGGCAGTTTTCTTGAAGTGCTCATATTCTATTGAAATGTCATTTTGTAGAAGTCCTCACCAGAGTAGAGAAGTGATGTGAACTCATGTTTTCGTTGTAGTTCTCGGCGTCTTTGTACTTATCAGAAGACAACAATTCACACCAAAGCTTTCCATCTCCTTCTTTGGGGGCGGCCATGTTTACCGAGAGGCATAAAGTATTTCTTACACATGCAAATAGGCAATCTAAAGGGTTGAACAAAGTTAATATTCCAATTCGAGTTACGTTCAGATAATGGAGTTCATCTTTTGAAAACAGACGCTGTTTAAATCTCCTGTCAGAAGGCAACCAAGGTCCTTCCATTGCGTTTATCTCTGGAAGAGATCAACGGGATAAACAATTTCAGTCGATGAATCACAAATTACTCTTTGCTAGTTCAACTTTGCTGGACTTAATCGTCTTGCCACCCAACCCAGGCTAGTGATGTAAGCTTTTTAGTCAGTTCGTTGCCCTAAAAGTGCAAAAAAATCGAGCACCGTGCGAGTAATGCACCATAGTACCCTAAGGACAAATTTTCTCAGCGAAACAGTTTTTGCGAACCACCATTTGATTCACAAAACATCCGGCTTATATTTGATCCTTTTAACCTTTTCATTTTAATATACACCAATACTTTCTCTGTCACTCATGATCAACACTGAATAGATGAAAGGATTATACCATTTTCAGCGAAAAACTGTCTAAGTTAAATGTAGTTCGTAGTAATTCGGAAGAGATCTGTTAAGGAACATGTCTAGACATTGTTTTCTTCGTTTGTAAACACACTTGAAACATCCGACAAATTTATATTTTATGGCGGGAACAGCAGGCCTAAGGGCAAATTCCAACTTGAGTAAAATTGGACAAAAATTAAAAGGAAATGCAAGCTGTTAATTTTACTTGCGTAAAAATGTACTTCAAAGATTTAAAAAGTTTGGTTGTATTATCCTAGTTGGCCTAAACACGAGAACCAGAATGAGACTGATAGTATAAATTTCACAAAGAGATGATGCTGCTCCTCCTAAAAATTAACGAGTTTAGTTAGGTTTAAGCGGGTGTGCGATGGAAATGCGTGGACTGAGGCAAAAGTCCTCGACACATACCTTTTTCTTATGAACTTAGAGCATTATATCATAAATGACAAGTACAAGATGCTTCGGTGGAAGGGTAAAGAAGTTTTTGCTAGCAACCTGGTAAGTAACTACTTACTTATCAGGTGACGGGGGGAAAATTTGTGTCAGCACAGTTGGGTAGGGGTTAGAATCCACTATGAATTAGAGATTCAAACCGCAAGCACTCTCGCTATTTGTTAGTTCAAGATAAAAGCTGAAATAAAATTCAGCAACTGAATCACCATTCAAAACTTCACGCACTTTCACCCAACACGTACATCTGTATGTTTTTAATCTTTCTGAAAAGCAAGTATTCCGTGCTTTTTTTATTCAAGCCAAAAGAGCACTCTCACTGCAACTCGAGTACCATTCAAAAATTGATAAATACCTCGCACTATTGTCATACGAGCAAAGAAATGTTTTCAACCCATTTGAGCCTTTTTGAAAATCACACTTGTTCGCGCTATGCACGCTTGAGCCAAGCAGTAAACTCTTATGCTTAACTATTTCCTCGCACATTCTACTACGCTTCATTGTAATAATGGTATGTTTTGATGAATGAATAAGAATTATGGTAAAATATTGTACCTTCTTTAAAGAAATACATGAGAATAAGAAAGAATCGGACGAAGTTAAAAAATAATAATAAAAACAGGAATGGAATTAAAATTACAAATTTCAGAAAACCGTGCAAAACGGAATCGAAATAAAGTTTGGTTCAAACATGTGCTCCATGAATGTGCGTGGAAATGTAACTTAGATTATATTCTTCCCACCATGCATTGTAGATTTTCTTGTGAACTTTTTGTGGTTTGTGAATGATGTAAGATTACAGAAAACTGGAATTTACTTCACAGTCAACCCGTGTATGAAGATGGAAAACTGATAATTACCTAAAAGGATCTCATCAATTGGAGGTGTAATATTTTTGGATATCATTATCCTTCGTCATGAGATTGTGGGAAAACTGTTCAGATGTAAAAAATACTGTTGAATGTGAATTTGCGTTTTTCATTCTTTCGTGTTGAACAGCCCGCCTCATCTATAGCCTACCTTACAGAAGGGATATTGGTATAATAATCGAAGTGGATCAAATCGAAGTGAAACTAGAATGAGACAAAGAAAAAACAAAATATTTACCAGAAGGACAGCTAGCTGCAGTGAATATCGAAAACAAGAGAAAGAAAATGAGATGATGCTTGAAATCAGCAGACATGACGGATGGCCAAAGCACCGGGTTACGTTCAGCTTTACATGTGCTTTTAGAGCCGCATCTAAGTCATTTCTAAAAAGAAAATTTGCCCAAAAGGATTAACAAAGCTGTTATCATTGATAAAAAAACGTTGTACAATTCGGTGGTAAAATTAACTTCTAGTTGATAACGGCCAGAAAACGCCGAAATTAGTTAATTAGTTTGAAAAACACAAAACTCCTTTTTGCTKKKTWA